TTAAGAAAAAAAAAAAAAAAAAAAAAAAAAAAAAAGTTGATTTGTTTAAGCAATAGCAATATATACTTTTTTTGGTTTATGGAAAAGCTCATGGATTAGTATAAGTTACTAAAATCTAAAATTTAAGAAAAGAATTTACCAGTTAATGAATTTCATTCCCCTAATTGCAACCTCTTCATTTGGCTCTCTCACATTAGGTTCCCATAAGGTATCTTCATTACTTTCGATCTGAGGATAATCTCACGGTTATAAACAATTATCACAAACCTTACCACATGTAATCCAGAGAATATAGCAATTACCAGTGAAAAATCAACTGCAGGGAAAAGTGTCTGATATTCCCTTATGGTTCTCCTCCTATCACATGGGTGAACACCCTGCAGAAATCAAGTACACAAAAGTTAGTGCAAAGAGAATAAATCCTTCATCCATCACAGATAACCATGATAAATGGAATATTAAGCATTGCATTTTTCACTTGTATGAAATATATATAACTCTAGCAAAACATTTTCTAACATCATAAGAAAATATGAGATGAACCTATACAAAAAGGAATGCAGTGCAATGATTCTAATGATGGTTTTCAATTTGAAGAATGGGAGCACAACTTAAGGAGGATACGAGAGAGAATCAAAACATTTTCTAACATCATAAGAAAATATGAGATGAACCTATACAAAAAGGAATGCAGTGCAATGATTCTAATGATGGTTTTCAATTTGAAGAATGGGAGCACAACTTAAGGAGGATACGAGAGAGAATGAAAGGGTACATAACCCGAGGTGGGGGTTGGGGGAACACATCTCAATGAGGAAGAGGATAGTAGACTTCAAACCTTCGTACTTTGATTCACTAGTCTTTAATTGCTGCATAAAATCTTATGGCAACTTCAAACAGAAGATGATCATCAATAAATACTAAAAATGTGTAATTAAAACATAAAAAAGATATGATATATCCTTATTATGTTTTTAAAGCATTAAACTTATTTAAAACATGTCTAAAAACTATGGACACAAGGAGATGGTTTCTATAGAAAGAAAATGATAACTATGACGATCCTACATCAATTCACCTAGGTTGAAAAATACTCTTATCCGAAGAGTTGAAATGAGATGGCCATGGTGGTGGCAGTGGTGGAGGTGGAACAAGAACATAGACATCTTGGATAATAATGGCAATGGGAAACTGCCAAGATGTGAACGGATGTAAGAATTATGAATGATCAATAATCTGACCAAGAAAAACATGATGGTTTGATGATTGCAGCAATGACTGAATAAAGTCAAGCAAAGCAACTAGTGATAGAGCAGGCAGTAGTTTAGTAAGAAATGAAGAGTTCTATATCTCCATCTCAAAATAGTAGTGACCAATAATAGTAACAAAAGGTAACTCAAGCTTAGACCCAACAATATAATCATATGGGAAGTCTACAATAGGCATGATTCATGCTTCAACCCAGCTATCAGGCAAAGTCCGTCTTTGGCCCTAGATTGAGCTTAAACCCTAGAAACTGATAGTCCTGAAGACCCAAGTTATCATTAGATAATGCTTAATGTACTAACAATCTTCAATTTTTTAAGTCGTAAGAACACAAATATCAAAAAGATTCTTTTTTGAAGCTTAAGTCTCAACATAAGGCACAAAATTAGGCTCAAGCTCAAGTATATTACCACACTCAGGCTTAATCACTAGCAACTAATCAGCATCCCCACTAGCATTGGTACACAGAGGCAGCATAGGGCTTGTTGTGCCATAGAAAAGTCCCCCTCAAACTTAAGGGAAAATTCTATAAGATGGTGGTGAGACTTGCAATGCTTTATGATGCCGAATGTTAGCCATTAAAAGAGAAGCATAATACTAAGTTAAGTGTTGCAGAGATGGGGATGCTTAGGTGGATGAATGGCTTTACCCTTAGAGATAGGATGCGAATTGAGCATATATGTGAAAAGGTTGGAGTAGCTCCAGTGGAAGATAAGATTAGAGAGAGTCGCCTTAGATGGTTTGGTCACATTAAATGGAGGCCTTCCGATGACCCCGTTAGAAAAGTTGAGGTATTAGATTTGACTTATGTTAAGAAAGGTAGAGGTAGACCTTAAAAGACTCGGTTAAAAAATATTAGAAATGATCTTTTTTTTTATTATATTTAAATGAGAATTTGACTTTTAACAGGACACGATGGCAAAAAAGGATTCATGTAGTCGATTCCACGTAGTGGGACAAAGGCTTGTTGTTGTTGTTCTTGATGGTTTGATAAGTAACACTTATGTTTGTACATGATAGCATCAAGTCTATCGAAAGAAGTGAGTTGATGGGTGACTTGAGAAGATCTAGTAGGAGATCGATATAATTGATTTGGCCTAGAATAAGTATCATATCGATGATGAGTATGCATGGTCGTAGGATTTGACCCAATCTAATTCTAGTATATTCATGCCTTTTAACTAGAATAGCCCACCCTCCTAATCATCCTTTTTTGTTAGGAAATAAAGATCATTATATAAAGCATATGGTTTGTCTACCCGATGCTTTTAAAGGTAGCAATCATAAGTATCATGATGATAATATGAATAATGTGAATTAAGATACCTATTTTGATGACAATTAAATCTTACAAATGTCTAGTAAGAACATTCTAGACTAAAGAAAAAAGATATAGGCTTAAAGCTGGTCCTTGATGCATTTCATAAAAACATATAATGAGAACAGAAAATTGACTGAAAGGGGAAGAACAGAATTCATAAAAGTGGCTTACAGTTGGAAAGGAGATATGTCGGTAATAGTTACTGAAGAGAGGGAATATTAGATGGTTGTTTCAGATTCTTCACAGGGACATTTGCCAACAGCTGTACAGGAAAAAGGCAGAGCTTAGTTATTTGGTTTGGTGTCAACATGAAGCCGTAGGGTTTTTTGGTGGTTGGGGCATGGCTGTAAAGCTAATGATGCTTCCTTTCAACTTTGAAATTTCAGGAAATGAGAAAAAGGCTGTTGCTGCTAATGTGCTAGCTGGCATATGCCGAGACCTTTAGCTGCAATAAACTTCAATTGCTCAAACAGAGAAGATGCACGTAGCAGCCATAGACTATTTTCTGATTCCTGAAATAACCCAAACTGAAGAATACAAGTTCAAATGATTTCGACTAGGCTAATTGGACTGATGAGGAAAAATCCATGTCCGGCAGAACATTTGAATGGAAAAGACTGCAAAGTCTTCTTTAGTGAAGCTTGAAAGTGTCTTGGTCTAGATGTGATCCAACCAGCATCCAACAATGAGGCAACCACGCTCAGTGATGATAATGGACCTGTGTGGGCTCCGAAAATTCGGCCCCGGCCTCCGCCCGCTTTTTCTTTTTATTCGGCGAGGGAGTTTTAACTGATAAGTTCCGAAGTAAATTTTGGAAGGCATATGGGTTTGTAGATAAGACACTACCCAGAGATTTCGCCCTCATTTTGCGAGGAGTTTATGATCTGAGTTCTGGTTTTCTATAGGCGCAAGCCCCTATAGTTAATTACCCCTCCCGATCACGAGAGAGAACTTTCGATTAAGGCTAGTCGTCAATCAGATACGTAGAGATACGTGTTATCTGGCATATAGTAGCAGCATAGGTATGGAATTGTTGGAGAATTTGGGAATTTGGAGGATTGATATTTGGGAATTTGAAGGTTTTGAAGATTTGGAAAATTGATATTTAAAACAGAAATTGCACCATCTTGAACTTAAAGCGGATGGTGGGGGAATGGATGATAGACCCGATCAAGATCTCATGGTTCCGTCGTCCCGGGCCATCGTGGTCCCTGGTCTACTTAGTCAGAGGAGGTAGTCGACCCAACCTGACAGAAGGATCCTTGTCGGCAGCCATGGGTTGCTTCGTCCAAGGGGACCTTGTAGACCAGGGTTGAATGTTTGTCTAAGGGGACAAATTTGAATCCACCTTAGCTAACAGAGGGCTTTGTGCACTATCGATCATATCCTATTGATTCATATCTCAAGGATTTAATGCTATTAAGGAGCGTATTGGCTCTGGCCATAACCGGTATTTCGTGGTGCCATTTGGCGGCAAAACCACTCGGTTCAGAGGGCCCCGAGTCATAACCGTTTATCCCGCGGTGCCATTTGGCGGCAGACCGCCAGTCAGAGGACACGTACCACATCTTTCCTAGCAAGAGATTGTTTGAGAATGGATCCTAGTGATATTTTAGAATAGGCATTAGCTCTTTGTAGCTGAAGTTTATTTTAATCTGTCCACCCCGACAAACTGTTGCGGAAGGTGGATGAAGTTTGCTTTAAGTGGTGGGATTGATAGTTTATTTTAATTTTAAATATTTTTGGATTTTGGGATTTTTGGAGTATTTGGGTGGAGCTTTGGATTAAATGGACTTTTGGGAGACATTTGAAAGTATTTGTGAACCCCTCCGGTTGAGATAAACATTCAACACGGCCATCATTGGGGTATTTGGGATCATTTCTCTTTTATTGATTGAATCTTGTCAACTCTATCGAATTATCGATAGAGAATCGGATTTCATAGGCTTTATGCCTTTGTTAGTGAATTCATATTGTTATAGGCCTTGAAGGCCTAATATGAATGTATTAAAACAAATACACTGGTCGTCACGACCGTGTATCTGTTTGAAGGTTCGAACCCTGTCGACTCCTATTGATCCATATAGAAGGATCGGGTTTGAACTTGAATTCACTTATCGACCCGCGTAGCATCCCTAGGCGTCACGTGTGTACCAATAACACGCTCGCCGGGGCCCGTGCGGGTTTTATGATTGCTTTTACCCCTCCCTTTTTGTGTACCTATGTGTATACAAGCTACAGTGTATATGTGGGAGTATTTTGCAATATTTGATGAGTCTTCTGCGACAGCTCGTAGAAGCTCGCATTTGTTGTAGTATTTTTCGTAGAAGGAAGTATGTTGGATGTACGATCACTGTTCATCAAAGAACTTATAAGCCCCAGTAATCTTATCTAACTCAATGCCTAAAACCTGGTTGAACTGAGATTCATTCATTTCATGATGATTTGATATGGCTTTCTCTTCCCAGAACTTGCATTGAACTTGATAGGCATCTACTAGGTTAGATCAACATCATTATTTTTTGTTGGCTTAAATAAAGAGTCAATCATTTCAATCTTAGATAATTGCACCCTTGTTGATATCTTATACATTAAAATCAACAGTTATTGCCTCGAGCGGAGATCGTAGTGATTGGATGCACCTAAGGTTGCATAGGAGGAATATACGAAATTTGTTCCCAAATAATTGTTGTAGCTCTTGATGTCATTGTAATAATAGGTGCATTCTCCATTTGCAATCATCAGTTTAGGCCACCAAGTGTATAAATCTTTAACAGTACATTTGTCAAATATTGATCATCAACTTTAGTAAGCATGATGCAGTGTGTTCATGGTCGCTTGAATGCCCCTAAGCATATCACACTATCATTTTCACTTCA